GGAGACCTAATGCCCATGCGCAGCAATGGACGCTCACGCATTAGATCTCCGCATAGGAAAGTATTATTCAATGCTTTCCTATGGAAATCTGACGTTGGAGGTCCGTGAGGACATCCAGCGTCACAAAACTAAGCAAAAGTCAGTTTGGATTCCGGAAGCGCCCCCAGTGGCTGTTTGGTGGACAGCCAATGGGGGCAGACTTAGTGCTGCAATGTATCAAGGAGAATCAGAACATGGCAGAATTCTAATATTTATGATTTTTAGTATATGGCATAGAATAATCTATGGCTGTAGATTTGTAGGGTACAGTTGCAGAAGCCTTACAGCAAAATATACATATTGCCTGGGGGAGGGGGCTTGAGTTGTTAAAGCCCTGCATGTGAGGCTCTTAGCCCTGCAATCATACAGTTGCATGTTACTGCAAGGGGATATTAGTGTTTTTTTATTTATTTAAATATTTATTTTTGAACTTACATCAGGCAGCTGCTTTTTAAAGCAGCCACCTATTATAAAAAGAAAGATCACTAGTATAGAGTTCCATCAGGCTACTTAAGGGAAAGCTTGGTGCCCCCCAAGTGACTGTCAGAAGGTAGTTCTGGAGAACTGAACTTTGCTGCACACCATTTTAATAGTTAGGTAGCATGGCAGGATAACATTGACTACCTGGCTGTGCAGCATATGCTTGTTTCTGGCTGTATTTTTATTGATAACCCGATAGGATCAGCAGCATGCTGTTCATAGACATAGAGGAAGGGACATGTCGTGATATATCTCCACCTCCCTGTTAGTGTAGACATCATCAAGATTTCCCTAGAGCTGAAGCCACAGTTGTTCTGGAACCTAGCAATGCCCCTGCACTAAACAGTGGATTGCTTAAGACAGGATAAATTGCTACAGCAATTACATAAAGTTACTGTAAACAAGTTCCAGGGCCAGATGGTATTCACCCATAGGTACTGCTCTTAAATAGTGATGTCCCGAACGGTTCGCCGAGCGGTTCGCCACGGACTCATCATTGAGTAAACTTTGACCCTGTACCTCACAGTCAGCAGACACATTCCAGCCAATCAGCAACAGACCCTCCCTCCCAGACCCTCCCACCTCCTGGACAGCATCTATTTTGAAGCTGCATTCTTAGTGAGCTGTCCAGGAGGTGGGAGGGTCTGGGAGGGAGGATCTGCTGCTGATTGGCTGGAATGTGTCTGCTGACTGTGAGGTACAGGGTCAAAGTTTACTCAATGATGAGTCCACGGCGAACCGTTCGTGGCGAACCGTTGGGCGAACCGTTCAGGACATCACTACTCTTAAACCTTCAGGATTCTTTTCTTTCAGGAATTGAACTGGAGGATTTGAGAAAAGCAGATGTGGTTCCTGTATTTAAAATGTCTTCAGCACCTTTATTAGAACATGTGGAACACTGCAAGATTTCGAATGTCTTTGTCAAGCTTGCCTGTATTAAAAAAGGGCTCAAAAGTTCAACCTGGAAATTAAACACCTGTGAGCTTAGCTTCTGTGGTTGAGAAATTATATGAAGGGCTGAAGGAATAATAGCCGTGATATAATATGAACAACAATATAATTAGTAGGAATCAAGATTGTTTCAGGAAAAATATGTCATGTCTAACTAACTTAGTTGCATTTCATAAAGAAGTAGGTAGAAACATAGATTAGGATGTTCCAGTGAATGCGATCTACTTGGATTTTGTGAAGGCATTCAATACAGTTCCACATAAAAGGTTACTTTACACATTCTTTACTATACTATGCTTTAATCACTTGGTTTAGATGAAAAATCTAGTTCTTAGATAGAACATTGGCTTAAAGATAGATTGCAGAGAGTAGTTGTAAAAATTATATATTTTTAAAATTGGATAGAAGTGGTATGGGGAGTACCTCCGAGTTTTGTTCTGGGACCACGTTTCTTTAATCTTTTTATCTTGAAGTAGGCACAGCAACGAGTGATGTGTTGGTGTTTGCAGATTACACAAAACTAGGTTACTGTAAAGAACATGATATCCTTTCTCTACAGATGGCTTTGTATACATTGGGGGACTAGGCAGATGAGATTTAATACAGATTAATGCAAAATCATGAATTTTGGAACAATGATCCCAGACGCAATGTATACACCGAGGACAGACAATTTGGCTCTCCAGATGTAGACTACATCTCCCATAATGCTCTTACAGCCATAATACTGGCAAAGAATCAGTCTAGATGTAGTCCTCAGCATCTGGATTGTCGAAGGTTGCTTGCCCTGGTATACACTAAATTGGGCTGACTTAGGGATAACATTAAATGAAAAGGACATGGGAGCAATTACATTTCTTTTATTTCTTATGGAATTCATAATCAACTGTAGGTTATAACAGAATGGCACAATCATAAAAGAAAACAAGGCAACAAAGAAAAAAATGAAATGACCTCTGTTCAAAAATCTGCATACCCTTAATTCTTAATACTGTATATTGCCCCCTTTAGCATCAATAACAGTGTGCAGTCTTTTGTAATAGTTGCCTGAGGCCTCTATTATTATGGTATAGCTGCCCATTCATTTTGGCAAAATGCCTCCAGGTCATGCAAAGTCTTTGGTCAACTTGGCCTTGTGCTTAGGGTCATTGTCATGATGGAAAGTCCAAAAGCGTTCCATGCGCAGCCTTCCTGCAGAAGAATGCACAATTGTCTGGCAGTATTTTCTGATAACATGCTGCATTCATCTTGCCATCAATTTTCACAAAAACCCACCAGTGAGCCACCACCATGCTTCACAGTGGGGATGTTATTATTTTCACTATAGGCCTTGTTGACCCCTTTCCAAACATAGCGCTTATGATTGTGATCATAAAGCTCTATTTTGGTCTCATCACTCCAAATTACAGTGTGCCAGAAGCTGTGAAGCAAGTCAGAGTGTTGTTGGGCATATTGAAACCAGGCTTTTTTGTGACATTGGCGCAGTAAAGACATACTGGACACCGCACTCACCTAATAAACCAGGTGCTCTGAAGCCAGGGCTGGCCAGGCCTCCCTTCCAAAATATGCAGAATAAATAACTGTTCAGGCATTCCAGGATAATAAAAATAGCAGCTTTATTGACACAAAAGCAGCAATGTTTCAACCCTATCGGGTCTTTACTAACCTTGATAAAGACCCGACAGGGTTGAAACGTTGCTGCCTTTTCCCCAATAAAGCTGCTATTTTTGTTATTCCGTTATTTATTCTGCATATATTGGCACAGTAAAGGCTTTTTTTCTGGCAACTCAAACATGCAGCTAATGTTTGTTCAAGTATCGGTATATTGTGCTCCTTGAAAAAACCACACTGTCTTTTTCCAGAGCAGCCTGTATTTCTCCTGATGTTACTTGTGTGTTTTTTGTTTTTTGTATCCCAAATTCTTCTGGCAGTTGTGGCTGAAATATTTATTGGTATACCTGACCTTGGCTTGGTATCAAGAGATCCCCAAATTTTCCACTTCTTAATAAATGATTGCACAGGACTAACAGGCATTTTCAAGGCTTCGGATATCTTTTTATATCCTTTTCCATCTTTATAAAGTTCCATTACCTTGTTACACAGGTCTTTTGACAGCTCTTTTCTGCTCCCCAGGTCTCAGTATCTAGCCTGCTCAGTGCATCCACATGAGAGCTAACAAACTCATTGACTATTTATACACAGACATTAATTGCAATTTAAAAAGTCACAGCTATGATAAATTAACCTTTAATTGCCATTTAACCTGTGTGTGTCACCATGTGTGTCTGTAACAAGGCCAAACATTCAAGGGTATGTACACTTTCTATCAGGGCCATTTGGGTGATTTCTGTTATCATTATGATTTTAAAAGGATCCAAACAACTATGTGATAATAAATGGCTTCATGTGATCACTATCCTTCAATAAAATATATCTTTTTTGCATGATTAGTAATATTTTCAAAATCTATACCAGAATTTCACAATTTCTGGCAGGGTATGCAAGCTTTTGAGCACAACTGTAAAAATGGTTATTGACTCATGGGATCAAAATGTAATTGTGCCTCTTTTTAAATCAATGATATGAGCCCACCTTATATGGGGTGAAATTTTGGCCACTAATTTAAAAAAAAGGGAATTACAGAACTAGAAAAAGTGCAGTGGTGACCTACATAATTTATAAGGAGAATGAAAAACATTAATTACGAAGACAGGATATGATAGCACTATACAGATATATACTGGGTCAGTGCAAACCGCTATCTGGTGGCCAGTTTATTAGTAGGAATATATTGCAACAATAGGTCATTTCTTGAAACTGGAATAAAGGCATTTCTTTCTTACAGCAGAGGAAAGGGTTCTTTACAGTAAGAATAAATATTAAAGTATATAATTAATATGTAAACAGGTTGTTGATCCAGGGAATAATGTAATCCCATTATAAGGTCAAGAAGGATTTTTGTGGCATAGGTGGCCACTGATTCAAATTGGAGTTTGGATCAATAGGATAAAATGATGTGTTTAATGGTTGAATTCAAAAGACTTGAATCTCTTTTCAACCTTAATTACTATGTAGATTACAATGTTACCTCTCCTTCATCAATACACCTGTGAGTGCATTGCAGGGAACCCCCAAGGCTCCACTAACCCTAAACTCCAAACCCTAAAAATACCCTTTACTCCTACTCTAATCCACCTTTAACCCACAAGACCCATTAGACCTTTCCAAAAATATCCAACCAATTATTCACACTTGGATTTCTCACAAATTGGCATGCATAAACACGACAAATTACATCTCTTTTTGCAAATTACCTTTCATCTTATTTTGTTAAATTGGAAATTACCAGGGTGGCAAAAGGTGAAGATCATTTGAAAATGTAATACAATCACAGAGTTTTATGTCAACCATTTTTATTTACAGGAACTCTTCTGACAGACGGATTGATATATATTTGTGAAAAACAAAATGTGAACTGTACTTTTTGTGCATGATTCAATTTTTTTGGACATTACATTTCCTCATCATTGCTCACAAAAATCAAAAAGAATACAGGAAGACGGTAAATTATTAATTTTTTGGCTTTTTCAGAGTTTATCAAAAGCAATAGCATTAACATTGTTTGAATTTGCCTAAATAAACAATGGAGACTACATTAACCTAAGAAACAGTTTACTAATAAACGTTCTATCAACTGAGTAATGAGGTCATTTACCCTTTACATGTCTGTAAAGAGGTTTATATAAATATAAACTACCACAATAATCTTCTAATTGAGCCCGGCATGTTTTATTCTACGTGTGCCTTTTAGTTTCATGTCTATGAATAGGAAATGATAGAAAATACAGTAAATCAATCAATATACTGTGTCTAGTGGCTTCGATAATTTGCTGCGTGATACTGTTTATGACTAAGCACACATATCAAGTTAAATATACTCTTGATGATCTGCTTGGCCAAGCACACACTCCATCTGTTTCTTTGTTGAGGGAGTAGAATGGATTTAGCAGGCTTCGTCAATGATAAACAATCCAAGCGTTTGCTCCTGTGACTTGGTACAGTGATATACATCTTCCATAGATGATGTGACTACATTAAAAAAAGGATACGTGTTTGGAATAACTTGGAATTTTTGGATTATTTTTTACCACAAATATGATATTTTTGTAACGTGTGTGCAACATAATTTCATTCTACATTCGCTGGATTTCATAATATCTGGATGTCTAGAAGTGATATGAATATGTCTTCTGACTGCAGCATTTCAGTGATGTCACTAAGAAATGGTAACTCCAACCACTCTCAGAATATTGCAAAGCTTGCTCACGTGCATCATGACTGGAATTATTACCCCGTTCTCCAGGAAATGAAAATGTTTCTGATTCCTACTGTTGCCTGTTTTATTGCTGCCATTATTGTTACGCCTTCCATTTTGTTTGCCATTTTTTCCAATTTCAGCATCCGTCAAGAGACAAGATTTCTCCTTCTGGGAAATGCGTTGATTTCTGACCTAATATATCTCTTTCTCTATACCACCACTTGTGTTTTTACAGTGATGAATCTGAAGATTCCTAAGATTGCCTGTGCCTTTCTTCTCTTTTCCCTGGCTGTTACTTATTGTGGAGGGGTCCTCACTGCTGCTGGAATGGTTATAGACACATATCTGGCAATTCTGTGGCCTTTGCACTATTTCTTATTGTTGCCTCCTTCCAGAGCTAAAAGACTCCTGATTTTATTGTGGGTCTCTTCTTCCATCTTTCCAGCTATATTGTTTCTAGTGTTGTACTTTACTCAAAAAACGGGACCATGCCACCCCGATGTTTGTTCCCTGCCTGTAATTTTGCTGATGACGTTGCACGCTGATGAAACCGTTAGACTCTTTCATATTCTTTTCATCACCGCTTTTCTGTTGTCCTTCTCGATGATTCTTTGCTGCTATTTAGTTCTTTGTTTCAAGACAAGAGGGACTGGAATATGGAAAGGTGTCTCTTCCAGGGCAAGTGTCACATTTTCAATGCATCATGCCATCCTTGGGTTCCATTTTCTTCCAATGTTGATTCTACTGGCGGAATCTTTGCTGTATATTAATGAAATGATGGATCTCAGAACAGGAATGATGTTAACGTCTATTATTTGCAACGTTTTAATAGTTTTACCGAAAGGAGTTTCCCCGTACTTATATGGCTTTCGATATAGAAAACTTTACAAGTCTCTGAAGTTATTTTGTAAGTTCAAACGCCCTCATCTAGTGTCAGCTGCTCAAAGGTATATTTAGATTATGTAAAATCTTGGATGCCATTTATCAAAACCTTTTCACTGAAAAGTTGATGGGAAATTGAAGAAAATCATATTGATCAAGCAAGGAATGTACATAGGATATATATATATAATCTTATAAAGACTGCTATATGTTTCCTAAAGGAGAATAATAGTTAATTATCATGTATATATTGTGTTGAATTTGTACAACAATCCTACGGCTTTCCACCATAAAGTCTAAACAAAAAGTAAGGTTTTCTCCCGCAGTACAGCCAAAGCATTGCAATGTCCTTCTGTTTGTACTTAGTCCAATAAATGTGTGGGTTTTTTTCCCACAAGTACTGACCCAATGAATACTGTACAATGTTTTTTGGGTTTTGTTGGACTGACCAATGACTTTTAACCTTTAGTAACCAAGATAGCGAAAGAAGATCCACAAATAGGCCTGGTTCTGTTTGGTGTAAACTTTGCCAATAATTGCTTAGTAACTCAATGCTCAGTTTACAGTGAACACATTCCAAATTTACTCTGATAGTTGGTAGAACCAAGACTATTAAATGTGAATGTCATTCCAGATGTATATATATATTATTTATACATGTAGAAATATATACCAATCTGACACCCTTTAATTCTGACTATTATATCAATTAAATAAAATTGTTGTATACTGGTATATTTGTCAATGTGATATATCCATACTTATTTGTCATTATTATATCAATCTGATAATTGTATCTTTATCTGTTATTTTATCTTTATTTTTGTTGGTTTTCTCTAACAAGCATATAACCTAAACAGCCCATGAACTAATTGTTAACTCGTTGTTTACCTTTGTCCAAATAAACAGTTCATTAGTAGAGAGTTTGATGGTGAAACTGTTGACTTGTATATCTAAAAGAAGTGTGCACATGTGACATCATCACCGTCATAGCCCAGTGTAAATGGTTCACAATGCATTGCCCATGGTAAGCTATGGACAGTCCTTACTCCTTCTTCGGTTGGGCTGGCGCAAGACATTTTGTTGCGTAGATCCAAGTTGATATTGTTACACCCCACATCCACAAATTCATTCTCACGCACACCAATTCTATACAAACATACATAATTACTCTCTATGCACAGAAATACTGCATATAATTAACCACACGTGTACAATTAACCACTAACACACCTCAAAAACATATTTATGTAACAGCACACACTTATATATAAACACTCACATAGGCATACCAACAAATACACACAAACACACAGATATGCAGACATTGACTACATAATGATGCATACTCTCCTGCCATGCTACCTTTCTTAGGGGGTGAGGAGGGAGAGGGGCTCAGTTTTCCATCCCTGGTGTCCAAAGGTTGGGGAAGAAAATCTGAGTTTCGGAAGCAAAACCTCCCTCCCCTCAGAGAATCCTACACTAAAAAGGCATCTGACATCCTCACACCTGCTGCCTCTATGTGTAAATTTATTTTGTAGGTTGAAAGATAATTCAGTTGCTGCATTGAATGCACAGTGTGTTGAATTTTGAAGTATGCGGATGGCTGTATTTTAGAACAAAATATGCCACTTCTCAAGGCGCTGGGTAGGTCCATTGACCCACTGGGTATCCTGTAGCTTCATCCCTATTTCTCACTTTGAATCTAGTAAATAAATCCCATTTATTTCTATGTGTATTTATAAATGTAAACTTGACCTGTTTATTTAGTGAAATCAGGACTTTAGCTTAACTTATTGTATGCAAAATGGACTTAATCATTAAACTCCAAACAGTAACATTGGCAAAAGTCAGGCTAAAACAGCCATACTGGCACTATAGCTGAGTTGGGAATGTATTTATTTTTTAAATTTGGGTTTCAGTTTATTACAATTTGACTTTGGTGAATAATACCAAAAGTTCTCAGAACCTAAAACACTGTTAATGATATAAAAGTGAAGATTTACAAGGATATTATGTTGTGTGCAATGCTTTTAATTAGGGCATCTTTTCAGGTAAGAGACATCTGACTACTGACCTAAAAAAACATAGCTAAGATGGAGAAAAAGTCTCCTGTTGGGATATGGCAACCTACATTTCATGTCTATTATTAACTCACTGCTTAGTGAACAGAGACCTTGGGTTGTGTCATATAGTCGGATACATTTACGTGAGGAACCTTTGAATTCAGCTCACTGAAAAATGAATGATGTCTGTTAACTAAGCAGAGAATTGTGATGCATTCACCACTGAAGTAAAATAATAATAATAATAATGGGCTGAAATAGACAGAAACACATTTCCAACTTGTTTCAATTTTTGCTGAACTCTTGAGTGGTCAGACCGCCTGCTTATTTTTTTAACATATATGTTGCCGAAATATTCCACTGAAAGATTTACTAAGCAGTAAATAAGTGAGAGAGATACAATTCTTTGCCGAAAATGCCATGGTATTGTGAATGATTCTTTACTGTTTTGAAATCTTTCCAAATTGTCACCAGTTAGTAAAACACGACCCTATATCGGATTGAGTACTAGATTACCGTCTAAAATCAAGGCCGGATTAACATAGGGGCTTATGGAGCTGCAGCTCCAGGCCCATGCCCCATTGATTTAAAAAATTACAAAAATTTTTACATGCTCTTGCTTAAGTACGGAAACTTAAGAGGGATGTAGGGGAACAAAACTGGTATGAACTGTCTGACAATGAAATTAGTTAAGGTAAAGCTGACTTTGCACACTATTTAAATGCTCTTACTGCTTCAGTCTCTCTAACCATATGGCATGTTCCCTTTCTTCTACACTCACTACATACAGGGTCACCTTTTCCCTGTCCCAGACTGCATAATAGGAGCTTCTGCCTGCTAGTAAGAAGGTAAGGAGAGGAAAGGACTAGTGAGTGCTAGGGGACAGTCCTTAGAAAGTGTAGAGCTAGCGCATCATTAGACTCATTTATGCCAAGCTCAGGGGGCTGTCTGCACAGTAGGCCCTTGGTTGGTCATCCTGCATGATTGGCAGGCAGCCTGACATGCATTCACGCCAGGCTGACCATCTAATTTTTCATGCAGACACGCCCCCTTTGTGGATATGTTTGTCCCTTTTGGGCAATTCTGGTTACTTGAATCACATTAGTGGCCCACCTGCTGTTAGTGGGTATGGATTTACTTGAAAGATGAAAGCGAGAGATTAGCATAGGGTATGTGTTTTCTGATAGCTGTATTCTGTGAGTTTCCCTCTAGTATCACCTCCACCAGATACATGACGCTTGGGAGGTATGACTGGTTAAGTGTTTTCTGTCGATAAGTTTCAGTAATTAGGCCCATCATAATTGGCAGCACCAGGCTCAATGGGCTCTTTATCCGGCCCTGTCTAAAATAATGTATTCCAACATAAAAATAGGAATACACATATGTAAAAATGGCTAATTTAGAGATAAAAATAACTAATGTCTATATCAGGGGTAGGCAACCTTTTAATAGTACTGTGTCAAATGGAGATTTTGAAGTCCCTTGGCGTGCCGGAACAATTTTTTTAAATTGAGGTGTGTATGTTGCCGTATTCTGCTTGTGTTACTTGTGGGTGCTGCAGTTGCTTTGTAGCATTGTATTTGTGCCTATGTGGGCTATTACATTGTATAGAATACGTTCATTAGTAGTTTGTGACATTGTGTATGATACCTATGAATGTGGGCTATGTATAGAGGCTGCGTGTGGAATTGTGTGCGGATGACATGTCACATTGTGTGTTTGGTTTGGGTATATGTGTGTTTGTCCGTGTATGTGGATAAACTATATTGTTGTGTTTGTGGAGAATGTTTTTGTGTGTGGACTGTTTTTATTATTTGTATAAGTGGGAGGCTTATTCTGCAGCTCTGTGTTTATCAAGCAGTGTGAGTGGCTTCCCTGGGGTCCAGTAGGGACCGGGCTAGCAAGGTACAGGTCAAGACAGATCTAATGTTTAACTTCCTTTATTGCAGTGTGTTTAATTTAGATTTCCTATCGTGTGCTATGTTAATAGCCTGCTAGACCATGCAGGAGGCTGTGGTTATGCACTGACTGGGATTTGTGGAGAATTTACAAATTAAAGAGAGGTTTTATGAGTCAATCCAGGGTGCCTTTTATAAGGTTAATGAGAATCATGAGCATTGGTTGTAATACGCCTACTTTGGTGCCTCATTTTTTTCAGATTGGTTATTTTAAGTAAAGTTGACTTTTTAATTAAGAAACAAGTTAATTTAATTTAGGATATGGTTTAATTAAACATTAATTACTTTTATAGTACAGTATTTGATGTTTGCCTACATAATAATAGATGGACGGACACATGTACACACCTGCATTCTCAAAATGAAATACATAGCATTCACTGTAACAATTCATAAATTCTGGGAAATAGAAACGTATTATTTAATTTTAGGAAGTATGTGTTCTACACATGCATGATTCGTGGCCATCTTAAAGGGACACTATAGTCACCCAGACCACTTCAGCTCAATGAAGTGGTCTGGGTGCCAGGTCCCTCAGAGAAACCGCTGTGTTTACATTGCAGGATTAAGCCAGCCTCTAGTGGCTGTCTTCCGGACAGCCACTAGAGGCGAATCTGCGACGCTGGAGGCATATTATGCCTCCATCACGCAGAACGTTCATAGGAAAGCATTGAGGGAGCTGACGTTGGCGGGGGAGGAGAGGTCACCAGCGCTGAGGGAACCCTGGCGCTGGAAAAAGGTAATCTGCTGAAGGGGTTTTAACCCCTTCAGCCCAGCGGGAGGGGGACCCTCAGGGTGGGGGCACCCTCAGGACACTATAGTGTCAGGAAAACCGCTATGTTTTCCTTACACTATAGTGATCCTTTAATTTCCAGGAGTTTCTCATTCATTCTGAGACAGACCAGATTGATACAATGATACTTCATCCATAATAATCTCATTGCCATGACAACTACTTTGCAGCCTTGACATCTGCTACATCTACGTACAGTGTATGGCAACAGGTTTTATAGATAGCATTGAAAGCCAGAAACATGCATGAAATATCTAAGCTTTATTAAATCCCTAAAAAATACATATATATGAATGTTTAATGTACTAATATACTTCAAAGTACAAGTCCAAATACACAAAAAAAAAAAACAGAGGCAATCCACATGGTTAATTAGCATAAATAACTAAATGCACCAATAGAACCTATGTATTAATCAACTTGTATAATGCAGGAATATGAATTTAATACAAGTAATAGAAATTCTTTCTGTTCTGTACTCCAATTAATACAGGTATTTGAACTTAAAAAGGTTACTCCAAGAACCATGACCACTTCAGTGATTCACAGTGTTCATGGTGCCTGGAGTCTGTTTGCGCTATGGAGTTTAACCCCTTTCCTGCCAGATGTGCATCGTCGGGCCCTCATTAGCCAGCTGGGAACAAGGGTTGGATAATGGGAATTAGGTGCTCATTGCTTTGCACAGAT